CTTGTGATCCTCCTGTCACTCCAGAAATAGATACAGTTTCCGTAGTCTTGTGTTCAGATGGCATCAATGTACACTGGGCACCGGTATCTATCAAAGCCCGGTATCTCTGTGGATCCGAGGTGCCAGGCCATTGAACCCACACAGCCCAGTAAACCCGATTGTCCTTCAGGTCCCTTTCCTTCTCCTGGCAGAAGGCAGGGCCCCTCTATTGGTCCTTGTCAGAGCATTCAGTGTCAGATGTCCTCTTTGCTCCACCAGTGGCCTTCTTGTTGTCTGGAAAGTGAACTGCAGCCTTCTTGTATTGTGGAGATCACAACTGCTTTGCCGCAAAATCCGCATCAACTACAAAGACAATTTTCTTGTTGGCTTCCTTCTGTTTCAACTCTTTCACTCTGGCCTGAAGTTTGGAAGTGGGCTGTCCATCCCATTTTTTCATGTTCTCTCCCTGATTGCGTAAGTAGGACCACAACTGATTACGTGATTGACGGTTAGGGCCCTTCCTCCTGCGTGTAGGGGGAGGAGTTGTTGACCGAGATCTGGACCAAGATCGAGGTTGAGGTCGAGCTTGTGGTCTAGATCGCTTTACTGGCGTGTCTCTGTAGTCATCTCCATCTTCGTAGTCATCCTCATATTGGGAATATTCATAATCTCCTTCCATTCTTCCCTTAGAGTGGGTGGGTTGACGTCGGACTTCGGAAAGATCTTCGAAATTCTCTGCTATAGTCTGTATCCACTGACACATTGTTTCTACATCTGGTTCATCTAACTTTGGATGGAATGCTGAAATTAGGCAGTTGATGTATTGTGTAGGGGCACCTTTGATCACTTTTCTCCACATTGGATTGGTACACGGGAGACGCGCAGGGTCTAAGATATCATAATAGTCCGGCTTACTGAAGATAAGTTCAAGCATGGCCAGTTCCTGTAGATATTGAATACCTTCTTCCGCAGTTGTCCATTTTCTTGGAGAACTTGTTAAGTACTCTTTAAATGGATATCTCTCTCTCACCGCAGTAAGGATCCTAAGCCAGAGACTATGACTAAATCGCTCTCGTGCAATCCCTTGTTCAATCTCACGGTCTCGAGCCAGAGATCCCAACTGCTGTGCTTCGTGACCTTCCAGCATGTG